CAGAGGTGCCCATTTTAGTTACTGAATTTGCTCTACTCTATCCTGTTTTGCTTCAGGGACTTGCAATTCTAAAACAAACTTTTCTAGACAGAAGTTTCTAACCCCTAGAGACTGAGGAAGAGACATTTACACCACTTCTGTGTAACTAAGAGACTATTTGGGGCAATTCAAAAGAGAAAATCTTTGCAAACTTTTGGCTTCTCACTTTGCATTTCAATTATCCTCATGTTAAAGTTTTGATAGAAATTCTGCCAAGCTACATCCCTAAACACAAAGCCTTCACGTCTTTCCTAGAAATGTATCTTACTGTTCAAGTGAATTTTTAAAAATATGCCATTGTTTAAAGAAAGAAAATTTATCTTACCCCATCATATTAATGCTGCTAAACAAAGAAAAGACATAAAACTATCAGATTGAATATCCATTTTTACTTCTATAGTGCTGTGTCATGCTAACATCTAAATTCTGATAAATTCAGATACAAGTACAACTTTTAAAACAAGTTCAATTTTGGTATAGTTCATTGAAAGATGAAACCCAGAAACAATTGTATTATTGATAGTTATTAAAATTAAGTCAATTCAAACGATTTTACTGTTTATATAAGAAGTTCAGAAAGCCTAAAGAGGGCTGGGGTTGTAGCTCTGTGGAAGAACTTTTGTCCACCATGTGTGAGATTTGGGTTCAAGCCTCAACAATGCAAAGAAAAAAAATTTCCAGAAGGCCCGAGGAAGGGATGAGAAAAGAGATTGGGTGGGGATTGGGGGGTGGGAAGGTAGCGGAGGCCTGAAAGAGAGTTTTGCTCTTCTAGCTCAGGCTGTCTTCAAACTCATAGTCTGCCTGCCTCAAGCTCCCAAGAGCTAGGATTATAGGCATGTGCCACCACATCTAACTTAAAAAATAAGCTTTTTGCTTAGCAATTTACTTAAATATATCAACAAAATCATTTCAAGTGCCACTGTCCTCTATTTTATGCTTTCCTACTCCCACTAGTATTCACTCTGGTGCTTTGGAAAGTTGTATGGTATAATTTCATGATGGAAGAATGAAAGTAAAGTCTGAAACCACATTACCAGACAGACAAACCGCCATAAACAAAAGTTTACCTAACATTATATCAAATTTGATTTGGGAATATATATGAGTAAATTCACTAGCTAATTAGCTCTCAAAACAAATGTTGTGTAACAGAACTAATCCTTTAGAAAACAACACAAATTTTCTTTCTGGTAATGATGGAGTAAGACTGTAATAAAATCTTCTCATAATATAAAGAAGTTTTGGAGAATTGATGGAAGCAGGTCAATCTAGTACATATGCCTGGGAAGGAGGGAACTTCTAGACATGGGGTGAATCTTATGCGCTTCAGATGGTGCATAAGACGTTGGGAACAAAAAGTACTGAAGCTGTCCTTAAGTGCTGTAATTTTCCCCTCACCTCCCATACACTTTTTTTTTTTTTTGGTCGGTTGTGGGGCTTGAACTCTGGGCCTGGGTGCTGTTCCTCAGCTCTTCAGTTCAAGGCGAGCGCTCTACCACTTGAGCTACAGCGCCACTTCTGGATTTCTGGTGGTTTATTGGAGATAGGAGTCTCACAGTCTCTCCTGCCCGGGCTGGCTTTGAACCGCGATCCTCAGATCTCAGCCTCCTGAGTAGCTAGGATTACAGGCATGAGCCACCAGCGCCCGGCTTCCTCCCATACACTTGTTTAAAGCAGGAATTAAAATGTTATCATGGGGAAGGTTTATAGCTGCTACATAGGGATAGGTTATGCATACCTACAACATAAAAGATGATGGGGAGAGACATTAACTTACCTGGTATAGAAATCGCACAACTATAATTCAGTGTCTAATGAAATATATCATACAAAAATTGGACCAGATTCACAGTTGAAGGTATTTCACCCATGGTATCATTTTCCAACTTTTGTTTTCATTGGCAAGTACAATGTCTAATATATAGATATATATGTATATATTTGGGCACATGAGCTAATGCATTGATACATTATGGAATTCTCCAATCAAGCCACTAAACATAAATGCTAACTTACTTGGTTTTTTTAAAATTAAGAATGCTTAAATTTGATCTAGCAAGTTTCAGATGTGCAATATATTGTCATTAACTATAGTCATCATGCTGTATAATAGATCTCTTGTTATTCCTTCTGATTGAAATTAGTCCTTTCACCAACATGTGACCAACCACACTATCTCCCAGACTCTGATTATCATTTTACTTGCTATGGGTTTGATGTTTTTACACTCTGCATATAAGTGATATTATTCAATATAAGACTCTTTGTGCCACACTTACTTCTACCAACATAATGTGCTCCAGATTCATCTGTTGTCACAATATTTTCTTCTTACAGGCTTACTAGCATTCAATTCTGTATACATATCATATTTTATCAGTTTATCTAGTGATAGATAGAAATTGGATTCCATGTCTTGGCTACTGTGAATAATGCTGCAATGAATGTACAAGTGTACTTATGTCTTCATCATACTGATTTTAATTCCTTTTTTTTTTTTTTGGTCTGGTCTTGGGGCCTGAACTCAGGGTCTGGGCGCTGTCCCTCAGCTCTTCAGCTCAAGGCTAGCGCTCTACCCCTTGAGCCACAGCGCCACTTCCGGTTTTTTCTTTTTTGCTTATGTGGTGCGGAGGAATCGAACCCAGAGCCTCATGCATGCAAGGCAAGCGCTCTACCACTGAGCCACCTTCCCAGCCCTGATTTCAATTCCTTTTATATATATCTAGTAGTGGGATTACTGATCATAAAGTAATCTAATTTTAATTCTTCCATACTTTTGTTTTTTTTGGTCGATCCTGGGGCTTGAACTCTGGGCTTGGGCGCTGTCCCTGCACTCTTCAGCTCAAGGTGAGTGCTCTACCGCTTGAGCTACAGTGCCACTTCCAGTTTTCTAGTGGTTTATTGGAGATAAGAGTCTCACGGACTTTCCTGCATGGGCTGGCTTTGAACTACGATCCTCAGATCTCAGCCTCCTGAGTAGCTAGGATTACAGGCGTGAGCCACCGGCTCCCGGCCCATACTGTTTTTCATTGTTTGTACTAACAATATGAGTTTCTCTTTCTCTACATCCTAGAAAGCATTTGTTATTTTTTGTCTTTATAATAGTCATTATGACTAGAATAAGGTAAGACCTCCCTGTGCTTACATTTCCCTGATAATTAGTTTTATGACTGTGCCTATTGGCCATTTGTATTTATTCTCTTGAGAAGTAGCCTGCTAGATCTTTGACCATTTTTTCCCCTTATGACTGAGTTATTTTACTTTGTTACATGTTTTAGATATTAACTCAAAGAGATGGTTTACTAATATTTCCTCTCATTCTTTTTTTTTCCTGGTCATGGGGCTTGAACTCTGGGCCTAAGCGCTGTCCCTAAGTTCAGCTCTTCAGCTCAAGGCTAGTGCTCTACCATTTGAGCCACAGTGCCACTTGTGGCTTTTTCTGTTTATGTGGTGCTGAGGAATCGAACCCAGGGCCTCAGGCAAGCATTCTACCACTGAGCCACCTTCCCAGCCCTATTTCCTCTCATTCTATATGCTATCTTTTCACTCAGATTCTTTTTAAAAATTTTATTATTTTATTGTTATTATAAAGGTGGCATACAGAGGGGTTACAGTTATATGTCAGGTAATGAGTACTTTTTTGGACAATGTCACCCTGATGATTGATTCTTTTTTGTTTTGTTTTGTTTTTTGCCGGTCATGGGGCCTGAACTCTGGGTCTGGGCGCTGTCCCTCAGCTCTTCAGCTCAAGGCTAGTGCTCTACCACTGGAGCCACAGCGCCACTTCCGGCTTTTTCTGTTTATGTGGTGCTGAGGAATCGAACCCAGGGCCTCATGCTTGCAAGGCATGCACTCTACCGCTGAGCTACCTTCCCAGCCCCTGATTGATTCTTTTGTGTGAAGAAGCTTATTAGTTTTATGTAATCCTACTTGTCTATTTTCAGTTTTGTTGTTTCTATTTGGGGTCATATAAAAAAAATCATTGCCCAAACCAATATCCTGGAGTTTATTTTTAGTCAGTTTTCAGTTTCAAGTCTTATGTTTAAGTCTTTAATCCACTTTGAGCTGATGGTTGTATATGGTATAAAGTAAGTGTCTAATTCCATTCTTCTGCATGTGAATATTCACTTTCTCTAACACTATTTGAAGAGACTATTCATGGATTGGAAAAATTAATGTTGGCAAAATGTCTATATTATCCAAAGCAATCCACAAACTCCTATCAAAATTCAAATGGTATTTTTCAGAGAGAGAAAAACAATCCTGAAATTCATGTGAAACTACAAAAGACTGAACAGCCAAAGCAATCTTCAACAAAAAAGAACAAAGCTGAAGCATCACACACTGAGACAGCCAACAGGCCATAATAATCAAAACAGTCTAATACTAGCATATAGACAGCCATTACCAGTGTGGCACTATGGGAGTACCAGAAGTAAACAACAAGCTTAGCATTAATTGTTTTATAGTAGAAAGACAAAATGGACCAAGGATACTCTCTGTCTGCACTTGAACATCTCCACTGACTACCGCCAGCTTCTCATGCGAAGGTCTTAACAAACTGTAAGGAATCAATGATTCTACTAAACCTTCTTGAAGCTACGACTCTCAGGATAAATTGGTGTTGATGAGTCTATAACTGATCTCCACCTATTGAAACATTGCTTCAATTTGCTTTTTTTCAAATTCTTTATTGTGATTAAGTGATTATATAATTTCCCAAATTTCACAGTATTGTGAGATAGTGATGCTTAGTTAAAGTCACAAACACATTCTAACTTTCATGGGGCAAATTGTCTATCATAGTCTATAACATTTATGAGTTCTATGAGCTTTCAATTTGCTTTTTATTTTTGTTTTGCCCCTCCTTTTACACCGCAGATTATGCTTCTCTATTAACATTAACACTGAATATTTAGTAGCCACTAAAATACAAGTCTGCCTCATGCAGTCAACCTACCTCTTGTGATGAAGGCAGGGCCCCCTCACAGGTGACACAGTATCTCAAGTGAGCAGGATTCCCTGTACCACAGGCACGGCAAATCACCTTCTCCTTGTCAATAGGGAACAAAATAATGACAGAACTAACAAGACACAGTACACAGAAACTACTACGTGGTCTTCCAGTCAATCAGCCAATTACAGACCTCAGTGTAACACCAAGGCCCTGAATGCTGACCCAGTTTTGGAATAACCACACATAAATAGTGTCATATGAACATAGTTCACATGAACTATGGTATCATAAGAACATAGTTTTAAAAGAGGGGCTAATTGGCTGGGAAGGTGGCTCAGTGGTAGAGCGCTTGCCTTGCATGCTCGAGGCCCTGGGTTCGATTCCTCAGCACCATAAAAGCAAAAAGAAAAAAGCCG